TAAAACAAAACTAATTTGTTAATGTTTCTCAAGTGACGTAAAATGTATGGCCAAATGAGTCTTAATGTGGTTTTCACGACATCCTTCTCCTAGTGGTTAGTTACGGGTTTTCTTCGGAGGCTGTATTTGTCTAGAGCGCTCCTTCACGGTGCACCAGCTCTGATAAGTGCTGATATCCTGTATTATTCATTGTCAGCTTTTGAAAGGCAGGTGATCAGGAGAAGAGAGGGAAGGATTCTGAATAGTTTAACAAAAGATTCTTTCTTCATTTCACCATTTGTTCTGCAAAATTTGTCCCTACATTCTGCTTCAATGGAACAGTGAGATGGGATTGCATTCTAATATAACATTTCTATCACAACCATCTCTGCAAGTAATAATTTATTACAATGCATGGTTATAATTTAATTCATTCAAAAATGAGCACTCTTTTTTATTTTTTTGAGAATGCCTTAGTGTTAAAATTGAATTAGGTATTGAAGTAGGGTTTATATTTCTCTACTGAGTGCATTAGATGTCACACCATTTGGAATTCAGCCCTTATCCTTCCACCCCAATCATACCAACTAATAATATCATAATTTGAACAAGTTATTTTCCTTCATTATGTAAGTAACATTGTTCTTATAAATACATCTTTATTACACATTGCAAATACTAAAGATTTCTACATGTTTAATTTGGTTAATTCTTCAAACAAAACATCTTATTTTTAGATATTGGGTTTTTTGAAAAATTGGAAGGAAACCCATAGGTTTCAGCCACACCAGACTCTACTACTGAGATATATACTTGGCCTTAAAAAAATGGGACATTTTAAACACCTGTAGAACAGTATGATAAATCCAATGTCTCAGGCTACTTCTGAGTATTAATTTTCAATATTTTGTTCATCCTGTTTAAGTAACAATTCCTTTAAATTTATTTATTTAAGTACTCAATTTATTTAAGTACTAAATTAAACATTTTAAACTATTAAACTTAAATTTTTAAATTTCTAATAACAAAGAAGAAAGAACCATTGTATTTTTAACATTTAAATAATATATCCTAAATTCTTTCATTATAAAACTATAATAGTTGAAAATTTATTTGTCACCTTTCTTGTTCATACCCAAGACTAATTTGTTAACTGATAGAATACTTTTTTAATTTAATTTTTTTAATGTCCTGTTTGGCTCTTGTCTCTTGGAGGCCTGCTCTTTTCTGAAGAGGAAATTAGGAAGAGTGGATCTGGAGGAGAGGAGATACGGGGGGGGGGGGAGATCTAAAAGGATGGAGGGAGAGGAAATTTTGGTTAGGATGTATTGTTTGAGAGAAGAATCTATTTTCAATAAAAACAAAACCCCAAATAATTTTAAATATTTATATGTCATGTAATATGGTGGTTTGAATGAAAATAGTCCCCAAGACTCATCTATTTGAATGCTTGGTAGCCAGCTAATGGAAATGTTTGGGAAGGATTAGGAGGTGTGGCTTTGTTGGAGGAGGTGTGTCACTGGGGGTGGGCTTTTAGGTTTCAGAAGCTGCTGGAGTTCCCAATTAGCTCTTTCTGCCTTTTGCTCTCCCTCATTGTTGTCTCAATTTGGGAGCTCTCAGCTAGTGCTTTCACATCATGCCCTCCTGTCTGCCACTGCAAAGCTCCCTGCTGTGATGGCTTTGCACTCTAACCTTGTGAAGTTTAAGCTCCCTCTAAACTCTTCCTTCTGTAACTTTCCTTGTTCATGGTATCCACAGCAACAGAAAGGAAACTAGACATCTAAATACTACAAAACCCTAATACCAAAACACTTAAGCCAAACACCCTAATTTAAAGGTTGTAGTCCTTACTTGGAGACAGAGTATATTTCATTTTGATGTAATATTTACAATTTGTTTGTTCTTGTACTTTAAGATAATGTATTAGAAATTTAAAATTGCATAAGGTCATTATAAAATGGCAAAAATAACTCCAATAGCAAGTGCATTGTACATGTAAAGCAGATCCCAGGTGGCCCGCTTAAACCTATTTGAAATATATAGACATTTAATGCCTACATCTTATTTATAACAAATGTCTACAAATCTAAAAATAAAATGATCTGTAATATATAGCTTCCACATTTGCTCATGATTTGGGTTATGCCTGCACATCCCTCCTCCGGTACCTCCTAGCCCAAAGGAGAAAAGTGACATATGTTTCAAAATGCTTTGAAATTTCCAGTTACCTTTATGCTAAAAGTCATTCACTACATTCTCATACCTTCTGCCTTCTCTATGAAGCCACAAAGGCCACACATTGCATTGTATCTGTCTCCATCTTGTGGCAATTAGAAATATTGCTAAGTACTAATGTTACAATTCTATACATAAATGAGAATTAACCATCCTTGGTAGAAGAGAGCTTGTCCATCTTTGGAATATTACTTAGAGATACTAGAAATAAAGACTTTAAAATTACAGAAACACAAACATTTCATGATTCATATATATTAAAATTTCTAGATTACTTCTAAATCTCTTTTCTAGTATTATTATGTATGTGTGTGTTGAAACTGATATAGTATTTATATGGAATCACATATATACATATATATATTATATGTCTCATATAAATACCATAAAAGTATAACATACATATATATGTATATGGTAGTATGAGTGTTGTAAATAGTGATAGTCTATTCAACACACCCCTGCTTATAAGCTTGTTAGTCTACTCTAGAAATTGTGTAATATGTACTTATAAAATAAGGTTGAACTTATAGAACACATTCTATGGTCACAAAATAAAGGAAATGTTTATTTCTATGTAGAAATATCCATTTCCCATGTCCTGCCTTACCAAGAAAGATAAAAGCCTTTAAGGATATACTTTTATTTAAATACAAGGAAAAAAAAAAACAATGTTCAAGGTTACTAAGTCTGTAAAAGAAGAGTAATTATATTTGGGATTTTGGAAAATAGCTGTATATGTGGTATAAAGCATTATTTAAAAAAAAACATTGAATCTCCTTTGGATTGATCCCTGAAGAGAATGTTTTTTTTTTCTTTCCTTGTTCCAACCTGTTTGTTGGTATGGGTTAAGATAGTAAATCATGAATATAAAAAGCAAGTGGATTTCAAAATATTCTGAAAGCTAATTAAGCTCAGTTATGCCAGCAATAACTTTTTTTGATTAAACTTCTGAACTTGCAAAGTCACTATGAGTCATTGAGTGCTCAATCTCTGTCTACAGAAGACACTTTGTTCTTAATTTTAAAGCTCCAGACTTCAAAATACATACTCTATTTCCTCTTCCCCTTTCCATGTCTGAGCTCAGAGTGGGGCATATTTCAGTGGAGGATATTTTTAAAAAGTGGCAGATATTATGACACATTGCTTTGCTATTCAGGGGGTTACGAGCTTCCAACCCTTGCCTTAATTAAAAGGAAAAATTATCACGGTACAGTGTCTAGTCCATGATTTTACCTGTCACTTTGTGTCTGAGTAAAGGAATGCCACCTAATTACTTCTTGAAACAAGCGGTGAAACAGTGCAAGCTTGGTTTAACTACTCAAATGGAGCTTCCCAATAGGTCTGACAAAACATGTGAATCACTTCTTAATTTCTTTATACTCTCCTATATCGGGTAGGTTACTGCAGAGAGAAATGGGAAGTTTTACTGATTTGGAAACACTGCTCCAACAGACACAGTATTTACAAACACCGCTTCTTGATTCCTTAGGATACAAGCTTGAGCCACATGTCCATCCATTCTATTGGGCTATGATCTAAGAGCGACAGTCCCATGCCGGCACCTTTAAAAATGTACATTTTGTGTATCATAGAGAACTGTGGGGCTGACAGATCATTTATAATCTACCATTCACGCACACGTACTTTTGTCCTTCTTGCCCATCCGTTTTGTGATTAAGTAATTTTTTAAAGAAAACATAGATATGGATAATTTGATGTTTAGGGAAAGCTGAGGTCATGACATTTTCAACCACTGCTGCTTTCAAAGACAGATGTTTATCACAAATATTATCTACTGCTTGTGGTTCTTATTGTTTTGAAACATGGCCATACTCTGTCATCTTGGCGATTTGGGGACTTACTGTGTAACCCACATTGGCCTCAAATACATGATAGCCCTCCTACCCTAACCTCTGAGAACAGGGATTACAGCTGTATGCTACCACAGCCTGTTCACTGCATCGTGACTTTTTGATACATCAGCCTTAAATGCTCACACTTTGTCACTTATGCTAACTGACATAAGGATCTAGATCAATTTAAGATAGCACTTTGATGTCGGGATACATTTTCATAAAACGTAAAAGGCATAGGAAAATGCTATGTATATGCATCTAGCGTAGCTATTTTTGTGAAACAGATTTTATGCTTGGCTCTATAACTATCTACTTTAAAACACATGAATTTATTTCCTTGAAATGTTCCACAGAAGAGGAAGGTCCAGAAGGAAACCGGAATTCATGATGGCGGGGAGTTAGGGAACATCTCTGACAAAATTCCCATCCCCAAGCTGCTCCACTGTTCAACTATTGGAATTAGTATCTGGGCACAGGCATCTTTTCTGAGACTGATTCTCCATCCATGGACCATGCATGGAGATAACCCCTGCACAGATGCAGCCCATGGCAGTTCAGTATCCAAGTGGGTTCCCTAGTAAGGGGAACAGGGACTGTCTCTGACATGAACTCAGTGGCTGGCTCTTTGATCACCTCCCCCTCAGGAGGGTACAGCCTGAGGAAGACATTGTAGCCAGTCCTGATGAGACCTGATAGGCTAAGGTCACATTGGGAGGAGGACCTCTCCTATCAGTGGACTGAGGGAGGTGCATGGGTGGAGAAAAGGGAAGGAGGGTAGGATTGGGAGGAGAGTGGGGGGGGGACTACAATTGGGATACAAAGTGAATAAACTATAATTAATAAAAAAATAAATTAAAAATATTAGTGTGCAATTCACAAGACATACATTAGGCTTGGGGCAGAATCACGTGAGAGATGCACACTTACCTTTTTCATTTCCATTTGCATAACTTGGAGGCTTGTTTTTGTCAATGCTGTTAAAGCTCTGACTTCTCCTGTTTAGATTGGAGGCTCCCTGAGCCTTGTTGCTGCTGCTCGCAGCTGGCACCCTAGAGGGCCCTGGAAGCCTGAAATAGCACGGGAAAAAATACGTCATTATTGTACACTTCAGAAACTAAGGAGAAGGGAAGGGTGAACAAGGGAGAGTCAGTGGAAACCCACAATACAGGATCATCTATGACCTACTTAGCAGAAAATGATGATTTGAGAGACAAACAGCTGGATACAAAGTAAGAGACTGTCATAAAAAAATCTAGTTTTACTTCTTAATAAGAATTCCCCAGAGATAGAAAAACTAAAATAAAGTACCCTTTAACTATAAAAATGTCCTTTCTAGAAGAATAAAAGTTTATACTAAAAACACCATAAAATTATTATATGACAAGAGTAACAGTGACATCTAACCCTATAGAGTTCCTAGCATATTACTTAGTAATCTGAAGTTGGTAAAAATTTTCTTACCACTATATAAAACATAGTTTTAGTTAAGACTTGAAAATTAACGGCAAGGATACACTACTGAACAAAAGGCAAACAGCAATGATTTATTGACTAGCTAAGCTAATAAGTTACATTAAAACATGGTGCCATAGCCAAAGTCATGATTATATTCTATAAAGCTGGCCTGTCTGACAAAATTCTTCCATTTGTTGGTCAAAAAAAGGAAGTGGGCTGTGTGTTGGTGATTTTTTTTAACTTGTGGCCACCTCATCACATGGGACAAGAACAGAATGCTAACCTCAGAGGAAGAAAATCACTGTTAGTAGAATGACAGTTGAAATACACCTAGAGCAAAGGCAGTCTCAATGCATTTTGTATATGAAGAACAAGTCATGTGTCCATCCAGACCATGTCTCTTATCATCATAAGAACCTGATGTTCATAACCTGACAGTATTTTTTTTTTAAAAGATTACCACTAAGTTTCATTTTGGATCAGTTTATATTTTATTTTATTTTTTTCCTTTAAAATTTCACTTGTCAATTATTTAATAAACTGTCACTAAGTTTTTAGCTTGCATTACTATTGTGTTTTATATATGAAACATAAGCTTGACACATATGAACGGAAACCTACAACTTAAGGGCTAGCATTGACGCTTTTGAGACAATGTGACAGGAATCCAGCCAGCACTGTGGGCATGTGCTGCCACCGTGTGAATGAGATTGTGTACTGCTCTGAAAATTCCTGTTTGAAAACAAAGATAGATCCATATAAAACTTTAATACAGATTTAAAAAATTAAGTTTTTCTTTGTATCTCTTATATGTCCAAATTGCCAATCTATTTAGCATGTCAGGTTTCAACACATCTCTAGTACACTACCTGACTTGGAAAATAAACCCTTAAAAACAGAAATCTCTTATCATAGTAGAACTGCAAAATGCAATGTACATCAGGAAAATACAAATACTAGAACTGTATTGATGTTACAAGCAGTAAAGGCTTTCAAATTTTTGACTGTACTTTAGCATTTAAACACTACAACTAATAAATATTCTCTTCAGCTGCTTTGCTTGTTGGCGGTTATGTCATACACAAGATTAGAATCTTTTCCACATGACTCCAGCTTTTCAATTTCTGTTCTCAAATAGCTCTACAAGGGATTGTAACTCCAACAGCATAACCACAGACACTAGGAATTTACAGTACCAGAGACTACTCCCCCCAGGAAGAAGTCAAGTAACTAAGTGGGCCAAATGTCCCAATCCCTGTAAATATGAGAGCAATTTCTGTAGACATAACGGTAGACTTTGAAATTCATTCCAAACTCGTGTGTAAACAGTTTGTCCTCAAACTTGCCCTGTTTGCAATGAAACTTGACCCACTTCTAGAAAGCAATTAAGATGCATTTTAATCTTTACCGTGACCCATGAAGTTAAGTGATCCTCAGTCCTCAGAAGAACAAATTAAAACAAATTAAAAGATACATTTGCTCTTCTCATTACCCTAATTTGACAGGCAGCCAGAGCCTCCAGATCATTCATCAAAGCAATAAAAAGGGAAATGAGATGAAGTTAAAAAAAAAAGAGAGAGAGAAAGAGAGAGGAAGAGTATGTGACACAGAAAAATTCCATTAGAACAAGGGACTTAGACTATGTCTTATATGCTCACATCTTTACAGGAGCTATGAAGGTACTCACTGATCACATATGGTGATTTATATGACATTTATTGTAATTTTAATTAATTAATTAATTTTAAACGTTTTTCTCTCTAGAATAAGTATTTACTATTGAGAAAATTCATGTTAAAAAAAAAAGAAACAAAACAAGGCAAGAGAAAGAGAGCAATGGCATCAAGCCACCGGAGGTAGCCCTTTAGGACTGGGCAGCCTGAGTCATGACTGAAGCAATGGTGAACAAATCACCACTTGACAGCTCCTCAGGGCATGTGAGTGCACACGGCAGGGCATATCAGAGTGAAAACCCTTGCATTGGTTTCATCCAGTGGGCTTGGACTACCATTAATCCTTTTTAGGAATAACATGAACCAAAAAAAAAAAATGCTCTTCCAATATTTTATATATCATTATTTTGTAAAAAGGCATGTATATTTATTTTTAAATACATGCCACAAAAGCAGAATTTTAAGTTATTATATAGAGAATATCATCCTAGTTTAATTTCTTGACACTTGTTGTATAACTT